GCTTAATAAACAATATTTATATTATATTTTAATAATTAAATTGGACAAATATAAAAAAAATGTTAAACTAAAAGGTGTACTTATCATTTTCCTTAATATTACACTTTAACCTTAATAGGAAATTAAGAAGCCTAATTATTTCATAAATATTTTATTATTAAGTACTACAATTTAAATAGACTTGCTATTATTCATCAAGAATTGAATCTTCTTATTATATATATATATATACACACACACATATGTACTTTGTCCCCCCGTCATATTCCACTGGGCCTTCTTTGTCTATTTAATGCCGACTGTTTCATTATTTTTAACAATTTCTTATCTTTCTTTCATTTTGTTTATTAGGTTGCAATGGATCCAAATTCTCAAACCGTAAATAAGTTGATCAAAAGACAAAAAATACTAATTAAAGGGTAGTTCAAATTTTTAAGAAAGGTTGTGGCACCCATAGATTAAAAACTTAATAGAATAGAAAATTAATTCAATTTATAATTATAGAATAGGGGTGTAAGACCCATTGGTTAATAAATTTAGATAATTGGTCCCTTCTTTCTTCCTATTTTATTCTTCTCTTAATAAATTATTAAACAAATATAGAATAGTAAATTAATAATTGCTGAATACTAAGTCTTGGAAAGTTGATATTTAACAAATTAGTAACTTATCATAATGCACTTGAAGATAAAAAACAATTATAATACTGTACTAAAAATGATTAAATACGCTAACAGTATCCTTATTAACATCTAAATATGAAGTGATACTTGATTTGTAATAAATATTAATTAAAAATAACAAAAGTATACTCTTGATCTAAATTTTCAATGTCATTATTATGAAAATTTGCCCTTATTCTTTAAAATGAAAAAGATTAAATTTGTACGCTAATATCTTCTTTCATATCTACTATTCAAACAATTTTTTTTATAAATTATTGCATTTAAAATTAGTAATTATCAAAAAAATAATTTTAATTATTAGCATAAAAATTTATAATTAGTAACTACTTAACCAAATCCAATACAAAAAAACTACACAAAACACCTATAGGTCTAGTTTGTATAAAATGAGCATATCAGTCATGCTTTTTAAATATTTAAGATTTCAAAAGTCTAAGACGACACCATTTCAAATTTTCAATAAAAACCAAATTTTCTTTGTCAACTTCAATAAACACTTAATGAAAATGATTAAAATATCTTATAGTGAGAAAGCGAATGAAAAGGCTTTCTTAGTTTTGTAATGATCCAGCCCACAATATATATTGTTGGTTTCAGCCTATCGGGTCTTACGGTTTTAAAACACAACAACAAAAGGTAACAAGTGTTGATTTACATACCCAAAATCTCTATTTTACACTGTCGGTGTGGGATTTGCTTTCAAATATCACAAGTTTTTTCCCTTTTTGTTGCCCTGATTTTCTCCTCTATGTCTTGTTTTCTTCTTCCTCTAGCTGCTGCTGCTTCTTTCCTCCTTTTGCCACTATTTCTCTCCCCCCTTTGCCATTGCTTCTCTCCCCCTTGATAGTTAGAGGCATGGTTATTAAAATTGCGTTTTAACTCGTAAAATCGTAAAATTTTACGATTTTACCTATGCAATTTGCATAAAATCAAAGTTAAAATGAGTTGGAAAACTGCCTTGATAAGTACTTCCTTGCCTACCGTTAACAATAACTTATTCTTCCAACCTTATAGTTTTGCCCATACTTTGTCTCTTATTGTTTTGAATGTCTGTTCTTTATCTAATGTATTACTTCAAATGCTACTAATGAATTCTCGTGGATCAGTCTTTTGGAAACAAAGCTACTCTGATTGTATGCTACGTTGCAGAGACTGATGGGCTTGAAATCCTCCAACTCGTTTGGTTATTTGACTTTTAGAATCAGTCATATGCTAGTCTTACTTAGTTCTTAGCACCCCTTGATGCATGAAGCTTAGCACTTCCTACGTCACATCTTTTCCCTCCACATACTAGTAATTCTTATAGAATGAATCGTCCAATCCATTCGACCCTAGAGCTTTGTGAGGTGAATCTAAAAGATTGTGTGTACGACCTCATCCTTTATGTATCTTGTCTCCAATCCAGCCCTAAACTTATCTAGCAAAACTCACTTCTTTATAACACTTAGTGTATCTAATGTATACTAGTCCCATTGTGTTGTGAACAACTACTCAAAAGTAATTGCAAATTACCATTGTGACCTACCTTTCGTTTGTCACATAGTTCCCTTGCTTGTTCTTTATTCCTGTTATAGTGTTCTTGACCTTCCTTCGAGAAGCCTTATCATGAAAGAATGTTGTATTTCTATCCCCTTCCTTCAACCAGTCAATTCTAGTTCTCTATCTCCACATCGCCTTCTTCCTTGCATAGTTCATTATTCTACTTCTAAAGCTCTACTATCCTTCCACCCTCTTCCTCATCTCTGCTATCTTTCATTTTCTTTAGTTCGTTATGCAGATTTTTAAGTTGCTTCTAGACATACCTAAAGGACATTCATCGCCAGTCCATCAGCGCATCTCTTTATCCATTTATCTTGCAAACCAATTAACATTGAACCAAAGTTAGTTCTGCTCGTTCCTTCCATCCTTCCTTGATCACCATCTTGCAAATCCTCTTGCCTTCTTTACGTCTCCTCAAAATGAAACTATCTACTCCTTTTCATATTTGTGCACTTCTCCTACCT